AACCCACTGTTTTAAAGGAGTCTTTCAAACCACTTAGCTCGTCTGCTAACAGCCCGAAGGACAAATAGTGAAATAGCACAACAGATTTGTGTCAGGAGGTGGCAAGCCTGGGTGTGAACTGCCTATCATGAAGCTGGGTTTGACAGCAGAATTGGCCACCTCCCAAAAACTGAAAGCGTTTCTGCAAGAGACACTCTGAAGGCAAGCAGGCAACCTCAGCTATCCTCTGCCCCCACCCACTTCCTGCTGCAGGTGGTGTCTGGGAGAAATGACGCCTAAAACTTAGCAACCTGTTCCTCTTCTGCAACAGCAAAATGACTTAAAACCATAAAAAAAAGGGAAGGGAGGTCACCTGCTCACACCTTTACCCAACTCTCCCATGAACTTTGCACCTGTAATAATTGTTCTGCTCCTCCCTCCACAACTGTTGTGATTTCAAAGGTATTATGTATTTTTCCTATAAAAATGCCATCAAACTTCTGCTGAGAAACAATTTCAGGCCAGATTTACTGCAACCAAACAGCCATCTGGCAACTGGACAAGTGAGTTGTACAGTTCCATCAGCTGGATGTGCAGATACACATTTACATTTAGAAGTCTGAGCAATGCTCTCCTCCTGAAAGCAATCCAGAGAGGGACACGAGAGCAAAGGAACCCAGGAGGATTTCTGGATAGAGGACTAGCAACCCAAATATTTCCCTGCATCAAAAATGAGCATTATATGCAGCAGAGCACACTCCTAGCCAAAAAAAAAAAAAAAGAAAGCATCAGCTGAAATTCATGCAAGAGTTACCTGAATTTGTTCAGTACTATGTGGAAATGAGAATTCAGTCATCTGACACAAAAAGTTGGAATTGTGTTTGTTTTCATGTTTTTCCTGTTTTCCATTTTTTTCATTTTCATATTTTTCCAAAGGAACTGAGGGGTAAGTGAGTGGCCCAAAATTCTCAAGGCAAAAATGTACACCGAAGCAGTGCATATCACAGCTGTAGTTTAACAGGCTAGGAAAATGTGACTCACTTTACAGAAGAAAATGCACTGCCAGACCCCCTAAAACAAGGTGAGCAAAGCCCTCCACTGCTGCCGCCAGGGTGAGGCACATCCACATCATTTCATGCAATCTTTAGAATGGAAATTTGGAATGGAAAGCCAAATCAAGTCCATCATGGTTTAAAGCTCCACATTATTGTTGGCTCAGTCATGGTAAATGTCTTTGGGAAAAGCTGAATGAAACAGAATAGCATTCACTGCCATTTTCCCTCTTTTCTGTAAACCAAGTGCTCCTTCTCAAAGAGCTTAGACGTACAGTAATGGTCACTGCAGAGCTTTTACTGAAAGCAAATAATACCAAAATATATCTTACTTATGTCTGTTTAAAGAAAATGAATGTTTTTTGCTCTCCCTAAAGCTCTCACCCTGACTGCCAGCCCTAAACTCAGGCAACTACCACATTTCCTACAAGCACACTTAGAATATTTAAACTGATTCTTTTTGGAGGGAAAGAGCATGTGGATGGTCAGAAGTTTTGAGGGCTGTCAATTGGTTAACACCACCTGAAAGTGAAACTACACTTTTAGGTATTGAAAACGCAACAATCCCATTCCTCTTTCCAAGGTTATCACCAACAGATTACACCTGGTCTGACAGGCAAAGCTTGCTCCAAATCCCATGGAAGGATCTCACAGGTTACCTGGGTCCTGCCAGGCTCCAGGAATCACCTGCTCTCCAGTGGAAATGACCACAAATACCAGAGTGGAAAATAAAGATGAGGGCGTGTAAGCTTTATGATACAGAACGACTTAGAGAAAGCAATTTCTGCATCATCTTTTAGTCCTCTCATGGGGAACAGCTTCAAACTGAAAGACAGCAGGCTTAGATCAGATATGAGGCAAAAAATCTTCCCTAAGGGTAGGGAGGCCCTGGCAAAGGTTGCCCAGAGAAGCTGTGGCTGCCCCTGGATCCCTGGGAGTGTCCAAGGGCAGGCTGGATGGAGCTTGGAACAAGCTGGAATAGTGGAAGCTGCCCCTTCCCATGGCAGGGGATGGGACAAGATGATCTTTAAGGTCCCTTCCAACCCAAATCATTCCAGAATTCTGTGATGTTGAATGTGAAATCCTGGAAACAGGAAGAATCTTTTCAGAGTTAAAAACCTACCCAAGAAGATCTCTGAACGCAGGTGGTTCCTGTGTTAATTAAGAAGGAAAACATATAAACTGTGAGGAGAAGAAACATTATAACACTATTAAATATACAAATAACCTTTGAAAATGTTACTGTGACACCTTCTGTAAAGCAGCACTGCACACAAGTAACACAGGCAAAGTTTAACCCTCACAGTTGCCAATCAACACCTGGGAATTTTTCTGGACAAAGGAAGGCTGGGTGCTTTTTGCTCCAGGTATAATCAACAAGTAAATGGAGGTGGTGCTGGGCTTTTATGCACTGCACCCACTCGACCACCAGTTACTGAATAATAAATGCCAGGCTATTCCATCACTCTAATATGCACAAGCAGGAGGCTGACTCGCATCCAGCCAGCTGCAACAAGGCAAACAAAGAGTTTGAAAGTTATAACTGAAAGGGAAGGTGAGGTTGGTATTTTCCTTCACTCCACATTAAGCTGTCTATCCAAGGAGGGGATTACTTGTGATTAGAAAGAGCAACGACTTGAAGGAAGTTTTTACTGAAATCTACATCTTAAACTGGGCTGCAGGAAGGGAGAATGACATAATCATAGTGCCCTAGTTAAAACGGCTGAAAATTAACCTCCCATAATGAAAACAGCGGCCGACGAGCAGCAGAGCTCTTCACACATTAATCGAGGTGTCGTAGTTCACTGGGTCTCCTTCCCCTCTCTGCACAGCTGTTTGCTCAGCATGCAGCCAGATCTTTCACCCTTTTATTTCCCCTTTGCCTTCCTCTCCAACACATCTCCAAAGCTGCTCTTAGGAAGATACCCAAGTTTTCTGTTTTCAGGAACAGAAGACAACTCTCACAGGGATAACCCATTAGAGACACGATGCGGAACTAAGCTGGCCCTTTATTTTACCAGGACAATGGTTTTCCTCCACCTCAAAGACTGATAGCATTATCTGGCCATCTAGCTCTCCACATAATTCAAGGAGATCACAATATTGTTGTAAAGCCAAATCCAACTGCAGCTTTTATTTAAACATCCGTTCCTCTGCAGTCAGGTAAAGGAAAACAAAGGAAGAATGAAAAGGATAGATATAAACTTCTCAAGCTCGACATGATAACAAAGCAAGCTAAGATAAATGTGGCTTTCCTTGCCAATGCAGACAGATTAATATGGATAGCATAAATAAATTGCTATTATAGTCCTAGGGATAAAATACAGGCCCTCAAACAACAACAAATGTTGCGTGGTTTTCACTGAGTCAATCAGTCAAGAAGTTTTGCTGATCGTGGCTGTCCTATAATCAGCTTTCCGTTGTCTAGATTTAATTATTACTTGTGGAAAAGACATCGCTGGCACCTGCCACTTTTACTGCTGACACTGAAATAGGAAATGGTTTTACTACAAATAACCACCTCCAGCTCCGTCCAGTTCCAACCAAGCCCAGAATCGGTGTGATAAATCCGAAACGAAGCAATCAGCATGACCTTTAGCAGGCTGCCGTGATAAAGCCCGAAAAAGCTGTGTTCTGCAGATAATTCACGATTAATGCAGCAGAACTTGGTGCAAACAGTGCTCATAAACGCCCCGACTGGAGTGTGGAACAGCGAGCTGCAGAGCCTTACTTAAAAACCATCATAAAACCGGAGCTGATGCAGGTTTGCTGCCTTCCTCGTTTTGGGGGGCTCGGGGAGTTTAAGGGGGTTTGGAGCTTGTTTTGAGGGGCTCGGGGAGTAGAAGGGGGTTTGGAGCCAGTTTTGGGGGGCTCGGGGAGTTGAAGGGGGTTCGGAGCCAGTTTGGGGGGCTCGGGGGAGCCCAGAGCGGTGCCGGTGGCCGCCGGCAGGGCAGGGAGGGCGCCGGGAGCTGCCCAGCCCAGCGGGATCGCCCTTGGGAGGCCGGGAGCGCTCAAAGTCACCGCTCCTCCGGGAACCGGCGCTGGTGCCGAGCCCCCGCCGGGGCCGGGGGGTGCCCGGTGCCGCGCGTGTGCCCGGACCTCCGTCCCCCGGCAAGAGCTTACGGGCGGTAATTAATTCCGTAATTAACGAAGCGGACGGCCGGGGGGTGCCCAGCGCCGCAGCCTGCCCGCCGCGGCGGACACACACACACGCACACGCCGCCTCTCCATCAGCACCGCCCCGCGGCGCGGGGCCGGTGCCCGGGGCCGTACCTCGTACTGGATGTACTGCTTCCGCCACTCGGGGGTGATGTGCGCCGCGAGGTGCTCGGCGAACTTCATCCTGCCGGCGGGCCGGGGCCGCGCTCGCTGCGCGCCCGCAGAGCCGCCTCGGCGGCGCCTGGCTGCGACCGGGCGTCGGTAGTGGGGGGCGGGGGGGGTCCGCCGCCACCGCACATGGGCCCCCGCCCGCCCGCCCCGCCACTCCTCAGCCCGCCTCGGGCCTCCTCAGCGCCGCCCCGCCGCTGCCGCCGCCTCCCCGGCCGCCGCCGCCGCCATGTTCGCCACCGCCTCCCGCCGTCACCGCCCGCAGCCAACCGGCACCGGCACCGCGCGGCCCCGGCACCGCCGCCCGCCCACCGCCGCGGGGCGGGGCCTGCGCCCGGCTCCGCCCCGGGCCCGTCCCCGGCACCGCCGCCCCGCCGCCCCGGGGCGGGCCTGAACCCGGCTCCGCCCCGGGCCCGTCCCCGGCACCGCCGCCCCGGGGCGGGGCCCGCGCCCGGCTCCGCCCGCGGGACGCGCCGTTCCCGCGCTCGCCGCCGGGGGGCGCCGCGGTTCGCGCGCGGTCGGGGTCCGGTTTGGGGCGCGGGAGCGTCACCCGCGAGCCCCGGGAGTGCGGGGATGTCCGGGAACGGGGACGGGGACGGGGACGGGAACGGGGAATGGGAATGGGAATGGGAATGGGAATGGGAATGGGAATGGGAATGGGAATGGGAATGGGGATGGGGATGGGAATGGGGATGGGAATTGCGACGGGGATGGGAATGGGAATGGGAATATGGAATGGGAATGGGAATATGGAATGGGAATGGGAATGGGAATGGGAATGGGAATATGGAATGGGAATGGGAATGGGAATGGGAATGGGAATGGGAATGGGGATGGGAATGGGAATGGGGATGGGAATATGGAATAAGAACGGTTAGGTGAACGAGGATGGGAACAGGAATGGGAACAGGAATGGGAATGGGAATGGGAATGGGAACAGGAACGGGGATTGGAACGGGCATGCAAATGGGGATGGCAACGAGAATGGGAATAGGAATGGGAATGGGAATGGGAACAGGAGCATGGAATAGGAACAGGAAGGTGAATGAGGATGGGAACGGGAATGGGAACAGGAAGGGGAACGGAATGAGAATGGGGATGGGGACGGGAATGGGAATGGGAATGGGAATGGGAATGGGAATGGGAATGGGAATGGGAATGGAGATGGGAATGAGATGGGGATGAGATGGAAAGGAGATGAGAATGGGATGGGATAGGATGAGAGTGGGGATGGGGACAGGGATGAGATGGGAAGGGAATGGGAATGGGAATGGTATTGGAATGGTATTGGAAAAGGAATAGGATGGGATGAGATTAGCATATGATGGGATGTGGACGGGATGTGATGAAAAGGGAATGGTGTGAAGATGAGGTGAAATGGGAAGGGGATGAGAAGGGGAGAAGTGTAGCAGGGAGAGTGGTGCACATGGGAGAAAAGAAGTGGCAGAATGGGAAGGGATCAAGGAGAGGAAAGACAGAGAACAGAGGTGAAGATGGGAGAAAGAATAGGAGAAACTGCAGGAAAGAGTAAGTAAGGATTGAGGGAGAAGGGAAGCTGGTCTGACAGGCCACACGAGACCAGCAAAAAAGGGAAAGAAAGATAAGAGGGGAAAATAAAGGGTGTGGAGAGGAAAGGGAAAATTTTCCAAAAGCTGCATGATCTCCACCACCTTTGCCCTTGTACTGCCCATCAGTGCCAGGCTGGGATGAGGGGAGTAGGGACTCCAGGGCAGCTGTTGGAGCAAACCCACCTGCACAGGGCCATGTCTGCCATGGAACAGACACCCCTGGAGCTGGGGATTTGGCACCCACTGGATCATGGCCTGAGGGACCAAACTGGAGCCACTTGGCAGGGGGCTGCAACCCTTGGTTATCCCAAAGATCCTCAGTGGCCCTAACCCTGCCACTCCCCAGCTGCTTGTTTTTGGGGCTTTACCTCCTTTGAAATGAATTTTGGTTTCCTTCAAGCCTCCCAACCTTTGGTGTGACAGTTTTCATCTTTTTCCCACCCTCGGCAGGGCCGATCCCATCCCCTCGGCACCACAAGGTCCCTCCCTGGCAGCAGCTGCCGGAGCATCCCTCCCCCTGACACCCGCAGAGCTCGTTTGCTGCTCAGATTTATGGGGGTCCTGTGCAGGCTCGGGGATCTGTGATTTGCAAGGGCTGAGATTCGCCTGGCTCTCGCTGATACCATCTCTTAATTACGCTTGCAGCAAACCCTTTAAACGAGCGGAGCTTTCGTGCCCTCGCTGCGACGCTTGGCGCTCAGCGAGCCTGCCCGGCGCTGGCCCCGGCACGAGTGGCACAGCTTGACTTACATTTCGCAGGTCAGTGGCTTTTCCATGCCTCACCTTGGCATCAGCTGTGCCTGATAACACCGGTGACATCGCCCCGGGCCGAGCCTGCTCCAGCCCCGGGGAGCTGGCATGTCACAGCTGGCATGTCACAGCCCGACCCTTTGAATCCTGTCAGGCTCCCGGAGATAACTTGCAGCGGGGGGGGCAGAAAAGAGGATTAAGAAATAAATATTCTCTTTGTTATTTGCGGGAGGCATTGCCTGGGATACGTACTGGGGTGTATAATAAATTAATGTCTTCTGATACGACAGCTGGCAATTTTCATGATGGAAAATAACCAGCAATCCCCCCCACCCTTTATTTATTTTATATCAATAAATGCTATTTTTTTATCATTAAATGAAGACAGATGGTAACAGGGGAGGCAGAGCAGAAGCTGGGTTCTTTGCTCACCATTGCCCAGTAGAAACAGCTCCATTCAAATATCTGATTGGCAAATCCCTGCCTCCCGTTATCAGATACCCCTTGGGACCACACTAAGCATCCTCGTGTTTCACTGCTCTGCTGGGACTTGGGCCTTTCCAACTCCTCTAAAGGTTTCAAAACTCGTAGGTCTGCACATCCAGGCTTGGGGGAGGAATGCAGGAAGGGAGAGAGGGCAAGGAGAAGCCTTAAATGAAAGAGAAAAGGCCACCACTCTTCCATGCCTCTACTGCCTTCCGCCCACGGCTGGGTGGAGGGCAGGCAGGGGGAATCCAGGCAGCACTGAGGAGGGATGCTGGGCCCAAAAATCTTAGTCTTGGGTCTGGATCTCTGTCCCCACAGCCCAAGTTTGGATCCCAGTCTCTGTACCTCAGGTCTGAATCTCACTCCCCATACCTCCCTTGCACAAGGCTGCCACGTTTTCCTCATCTCTCTCTCTCCTTTTTCCAGGAAAGAGTTTGCATTGTGATTTCCCCCATGCTGTTGTAGTTAGGAAAAAAAAAATCACAGAAGCAATGTTATTTGCATTTTAAAACCAAGCAAGGAGTGGGCTTTCCGCCAGTGCAGTCTGGCACTTGCTTTGTTGGGAGCATATAGAATAATTTATAAATAGCATGGTGGGATTTTTTTAAAATATATAATTATACTTTTAAAGCTTCTGCATCGCTGGGGAAAAGAAGTCTTAAAAAAAAGGCTTTAGAAAAAAGAGTCTTGCCAAGGGAAAATTTGCTTTACTGACATTCATAAAATCACAAAGAGGAGGGTTTTCCATCACAGGAGACAATGCAAGAAACCCATGGACCTCCTCCCACCTTTTCCCCAGGCAAAAGGATTTTAAGATGCCTGGATATTTAGGGGCTCCACTTGGCATGGGAGGAAGTGCATGACCATCCCTGGCCCCATGAGCAGAGCAGGATTGGCTGAGCCTGGACCATGGGGTCAGGGGGATTGGTGTGATTTACAAAATGCCCTAAATTCCCTTGTCATTCAACATCAGTGGAATCTGAGCAGATAAAGTCAACTTTCCACTGAAAACAAAAGAAGTAATGCCCAATCCCAGGGTTTTGGGAGCAGTAGACCATCCCAGCCTTGGTGCAGAGGCAGGGGAGGCATCAGGAGGGCCAAACGCTGCTCTTTGCATCCTTCATTGCCCTGCCCTGCCCTGCCCTGCCCATGTGGGGATTCCTGCTCCAGAGGGATGACCCAGAGGCTTCACTGCCACTGCTTGGCAAGGAAAACAAGGAATAAATAAATACAGACGTAAAAGCAAATTGGGAACAAGCTTGATGTGGAACAACAAGAGAATTGAGTAAATCACACCAAGAGAAGCTGCCCTGACTGCCAGGATCAATAGAGCATCAGCCCTGGCCTTGGAACCCCCAGCCCTGAGCCCTCCCATTACCAGCTCCATCGATGGCTGTCTTGAGGAACAGGGTCGATATATCAGATTTCCCAGTGCAAAAATGCACATATCCCCCAGAGCTGGAGCTATTGATTTTTCTCATATTTCTTCTCCCTGGAGCACGAATGAGGGTGTGATGATGAGCACTAGAAGCTGGGGGGGTCCCAGACCCCAGGGAAGAGGCAGTGCACAAGGTCAGACTGGGAGCAGAGTGTTTATACAGCCAGGTTAGCCGCCTGCAGGAAGTTCTGTAAAGCCAGGGGAAACAGTGGCTTCCAGGACATAATAATGCAGTGGATTGATCTGATTCCAGTGGCAGGGATGTTGGTATCCATCCATCTTCTTCTACACACTGCCTTGGCAGCTCCTGCAGATTTTCCAAGGTGGGTAAGATGATGCTTTTCTCCCTGTTTCAGGAGGAGACCTGCCAGGAGGGGTTGTGCTTTCCTCCACCTTGGATGCAGCAGGGTCAATTTGAATTTGACTGACTGAATTTGATCCTTTGGGACTTGAGTCCATCTCAGATGTGGATTTAGGACTCAAAATTCCCCACATGGATGGGGCAGCTCATGCAGACATGGGTCTGTGAGCTGTAACCATGCCCTGCTGAGCTTGCACATCATCAAGAGAGGATTTTTCCCATGCGTGGCTACACACCTGAGGTTAAAAGTCCCAACACCAGGCAACAACATCGCCCTGACTGGAAACCCATTTATAGGTTTGGCTGCTGCTGGAACACTCAGGGATGCAGATACAGGGGGAAAGAAGCAGCTCCCTTTTCCCAGGAGCGTGCCCTGTGCTGGGAGCAGAGCTGCCTCTGCACCGGGTGACCTTTCCTGGTCTGACTCCCGGCAGCTCCTGGCAGCTCACACGTGTCCCCTCGGCAGCATCCTGCCTGGAAATTCCGAAATCAGCCCTCCTCCCCAGCGGTTCCCTGCCCTGGGGCTGCCAGGAGCGCAGCGTGCCCCGCTGGGATGAGCCCCTGGGAGCTGTGCCAGGGCTGGGGACTCGCTGTGCTGCCTCAATCCGGGAGCAGATGGGGGGGGTTTCACGCCCTTCCCTGGTGTGTAAGTGATTGCTCCTGGATGCTTTCCAACCCACATATACGTGCCTGCTTTAATTTCTGCACGCTTGCTTTGTGTGAGAAGACAGCAGCTGACCAGTGGTTAAGAAAACTGAACGCACTGAAAAGGTCTAAAACTAGAGAAGAAATAAGAGCTGCTTCCTCCAAGCCCCAGGGCTGCCTGGGCTGCTTCCAGGAGAGCTTGGGAAGTGCCTCCAGCATCCCTGATCCATCTCCAGGACTGCTGCACTACTAAATCCCCCTGCTGAAGCTGTCCCCACTGCACCTCACCATGCATAGATTACCCCACCGTGCTCTGGAGCAGCACAGACCCTTATCCCTTTGGGATGTTTTCCAGGGAACAGGGGCTGGTATAGTGCCAGGTGGCCTTGGGACCGTTCCTGTCCTGTTTACACCAATCTCACCTGCCTTGTTAAACACACTCCTGCCTCCCTGACCGCTGGCCCTTTCCCAGGGGAATACACCACATGAGGGGAGTGAAGGAAACCCACCAAACAGCAGGAATGGAGGTGACCTGGGATGAGAAACAGCATCCATGGAGCTGCTGCTGGGTCACACAGCCAGTGCCACTGTCACACCAGAGTCACAGCAAGCTGTGCTGGAAACACAAGATATTGGCATTTCTTGGTGCATCGATGCTGCAGGCACCAAGCTGCCACAAGCACAGTGAAAAAGCTGGGGGAACTCCTCTTTCCTGTGCCACTCCCATGACACAGCCAAGGACTGGGGTCATGCCGTGTGAGAGGTCCTGCTGGGAAGAGCAGCCCATGTCCCTGTGTGACACCAGAGCTGGTACATGCTGGAGGATGTCACTGCAATTCTCTGCATTGAACTTGTGTCTCTTATCCAGTGTGTCAATAATGACAATGAAAACTGAGTGCCAGAGAGCTTGAGGTGTGTGGTAATAGCTGTGGCAGAGACTTCTAAAGCTGGCTGGACTTCCTAAGAGTTTTTGGAAATCCTGACATAGCTTTGTGGGTTTTCTAACGACCTCTGGACCTTATCAAAGTGCACAAAAGGCCACAGGCTTCCTATTTGCAAGGGCTGTGGTCAGAGGCTATAGCCAGGTGGGAGTAAATCTCTTCTCCCCTCTGACAGGACTGGAGGAAATGGCCTCAGGCTGCTCCAGAGGAGATTTAGATTGGATATTAGGAAAAATTTCTCCACTGAAATTGTGCTCAAGAACTGGAACAGGCAAACCAGGGCAGTGGTAGAACCCAGGTCCCTAGAAGTGTTCAAAAAAAGTGTGGATGTGATGCTTAGGAACATGTTTTGTGGTGAACAAGGCAGTCCTGAGTTAATGGTTGGACTCAGTGGTCTTAGAGGTTTATCCAACCTGAATGATCCTGTGGTTTTAGGGAAAGAACAGCTGCTCCTGCCAAACCTGGCTTGACCCTGCCTAGCTGGAGCCCTGAGTCAAGAGAATCCTTAGGGTTTCATCTCCTGCTGAAGTCCCCAGTGGGCTGCAGGTGCCAGACATTGTGCTCCAGTCAGCTGGGACATCTCTTGAGACAGCATTAGGTTGTCTGTTCCTCCCTGGAGGTCTCATTTGGCCTGGAGAAGGAAATCACATACCTCAGGATCATTTCCTTATGCACCAGGGCTGAGTCTGGATCATCCACAGGTACCACAACATGCAGGTCCAGGTCCTGCAGCCTCAGGACAGATATCAGATCAAAAACAATCACTTAAAGCAAGTAGGGATGTGTTCCAGAGGTCCTTGTGCCATCAGGGCAGAGAGAGAGGGCAGCACATCAGGTGGGTTCTCATCCCAGCTCTGGATAAGTCCATGCTGGGAGCTCCATGCTCTGCTGGATCTCTGGTTTCTGATGGCAGCTGTGAGCCAGACACAGCCTGGCTTTGTCCTCACCACAGAAATTAGCCCTGGAACAAACCACACCTATGTGGGACTCCCTGGAATTTCTTCAGGCCTCCAAGCAATGCCAGCAGATTTGGCAAGGGTCACCCTCACAGCCTGAGACCCCCATGCCCTGCAGATCCTCTCTGTCTCCAGACATCATCACAATTTTTACAAATCTGGCAGGAATTAGCCTAAAACCCTTCTCTGGCTAACAGGGGCCACTGAATGGGCAGGGGCTCTCACACCTGGGCTCAGCCCCTGCAGGGTGACGTGGAGGAGACACTGGGTGTCCCCTTCTTCTGAGCCACCCCAGCCCCACCAGGACACGCTGACCTGCAGCCCAAGCCATGCTGTGGGAAATAGTAAAGGTAATAAGATTTTTAGAAAGCTGGGAAAAGTTGGCTTTAGAAAGAGAAAGAATAGAAAACTCTGAACTTGTGTATTGTGTATTGTTAATAGAGAGCAGACAAGCAAGCATTGTGTGAAGCAGGTGTAGGTGTGCTTTTAGTAATTAACTAGAACAACTATCTGTAAGCTTTGGCAATATGCTGTTGGCCAGAAAGTTTTTAAAATGCTCTGCAGCAAATAAATCTCTAGCTACTGCTAGCTGTACATGAGCTTTTGCCATCTTTCCATTGTCTCAACCGTGTAATGAGGCTGATGCTGCAAATAAAACTCAAAGACATACCCCAGCAGTCCCACCCTGTTCATGAAAACTCCCCAACACACCATGCCTGCTCTATTTTACAGCCAAAACAAGGCATAAATCCCCCCTCCACAGAGCCAGAAGATGAAATTACCTTTCTGTGGTGCAGGTTTTATCTTTTGTGGTTCGTGGCATCACGTGAGGGAAATCTGTAAGTAAAAGTCAGGCTGGAGCCATTTATAACAGCAGCCCTGTGATTGTTACTCCTGACAGCTGCAATTACAGGCACTCCCTTCCATCTCTGCACGCTGCAGGAGAGCTGAGCCGGCAGCAGGAGCAGCTTTTCCAGAGCTGCATCCCTGCCCCAGTGCAGGGAGGCTTCCAGGGAAGAATGTGGGAGCAAGGAGGGTTTGGGGAGGGATGCAGGATGTAAGGAGAGCTCATCTGGTGGTGTTCATCTCCCTGGAGAGGACAGAGGACAGGGGATTATCCAGGGGCTCTGCAGGGATGAACAGCAGGTCCAAGCACTCACTGGGGAGAAACTCTCCTGGTGCCCCCGGGTAAGGCCAGGGTGGGGGGCAGGTGGGGACAGCATCCCAGCAGGATCACTGCTGGGCACTTCTTTCCAGCAGCACAGACCAGATCTCCTGCCTGGGGGTGTTTGGTGTGCTCCAGGCAGCTCAGCAGTGGCCAGCAAGCTGCCAGGGAATCTGGGAGCTGGGTACCCGAGGCATGCAGAGAACCCTGCCTGGGGAGATGGAGAAGGGAAGGAGGGACATCCACAGTCTTGCAGTGACAGGGCAGTGACAAATAAAAGCATTATTCACTCAATGTGAGCTGAGGGCAGTGTGCAAGTGGCAGCCCAAATTCAGCTGGGCTTTCCTGCTGAACACCTCAGCTCTATCTTCTCCACAAAATTTCTGGGCAACTGAAACATCAAAACTGAGCTAAATTTCATCATTATCCTGGTGAAAAACCCCACACACAAGAAGTGACTTTTTCTTTCATTCTTTTCAGTAAAAAACCATGTGGGATTTGTTTCACAGCTAAGGGCTCTGCTGTGGTTGTTGTGTGGTGACCTCACTACATCCCTGAGCAGCCTATTCCAGCATTTGCAACCATTTTCCTGAAAAAAGTTTTCCTAACCTGAGCCTCTCTTAGTGCAGCTTGAGGCCATTTCCTCTCATCCTGTCTCTTGCAACCAGACTGATCTCCACCTGGCCACAACCTACTTTTAGGGAGTTATAGAGAGCAATAAGGTCTCCCCTGACACTCCTTTTCTCCAGGTCCAACAGCCAGATTTTCCTGCTGGAGGAAAAAAAAAAAAAAAAAAAGGGAAACAGGATAGATTAAGTATAGCTGAATAAAATGAAACAAAAAGAAATGTTGTGGTGTTTTCTTCACACCAAACAAAACACTCTAGGTCAACCAAACCAAAATTTCTCCTTTTAATTTCCATTTAGAAAACAGAATACACACAACATTTCATCTGGCTGCCCCAAACCAAAAAACTTAGAGCTGAGATATTTCTCTCCACAGAAAGATTCACTATTTGCACAACTCCAGCTACAACCTTTGCACCTCTGGCCAGTTTCTGTGTTGCAACCACACTGGTGCTGATGTCAGCCCAGCAGGGCTTGGGGCATGCTTGGGGATCAGTGCTCAGCACCTACCAGAGGAGTTTTTCCATCAGCATTTCAGAGGTTTAATGTTATGCCAGGAGAAGGCAGATTTATGCACATCTGAGGGGGGTTATGCATTGCCACTGATTTGTATTCAGCACAGTGCAGGGATTTATGGAAGGAGGGGATCGATGTTTTATTGATATATAAAAAAACCTATATGATGGATGTGCTAATTGCACATTTTTTCTCCCAGACTCCCTTTATTACACACAAAAAAATGGCCCTGCTGCTTTAACAAATGCAGGGAAAATGTGCAACGGAGCCAGACTCCTTGGAGGTGATGCATGAGAGGGGAGCCAGGGCAGAGACCTCAGTTCTTTGTTTAACCTCTTCCCTAGCCAGTACTGAATCTTGCTTTCCTGTTGCCTGTGACTCCATTTCCATTTCACGGAAACCAGGCCCA